GACGTGCTGAAGAAGTTGGTATTCAATTTTTTTCATTTTTCGGGTTCTGGTGCCTAAATTCCTTGTATTCTTTTAATTCCGGGCTCAGGGCTTTGGTCCTTGGTGTTTAGGCCTTTTGGGTCACAAGGAAGTGGGAGCTTGGGGGATTGTGTTGGGCCGGGGTGGTGCTGGGGGTGGTGGTGCTGGGGGGGGGGGGGGGGGGGGGGGGGGGGGGACGGGGGATACTTGGGAGGATGCTGGACGATTTCATTTTTATCAAATATTATTAGGATATTCTTAGAGAAAAACCCCTCTAAAAATCTTGATTTTCGAGATTTCTTTGAGAATCATTTGACGAAGATTTTTGATGGACCCTAGAAAATGAATTATATTATAGTCTTCGTGATGAATGATCAGGAAACCCTTCAAATTTCCCGAGAAGAAATTTTCTATAGATTTGGTCCATCATCCAAAGATTCTTAGACTTTTAAAAATTCAATTCTATAGGTTTCCAGAGATTCCTTCAAAAATTGAATTCTAAAGGATTGCTGCTATTTTTCTAGAATCATTTGACGACGATTCTTTGTGCGAAGGATCTAAATATTCATTTTATTTCTCGCAAACCAAAAATATTTAGAAATCTCTTGAAAATAAATTCCCTGGGGGTTTTTTTTTCAAAGATTTCTTCTAGATCTATGTATCGAAATTTCTGAAAGATTGCCGATATTTTCTAGAATCATTTGGCGAAGATTATTTTTGCGAAGGATTTAATTATTCATTTCATTTCTCGCAAATAAAAATATTTAGAAATCCCTTATAAATAGATTTCTTCTAGGACCATTTATCGAGATTTTTTTGGCGATCAACCTAATCATTCATTTCATTTCTGCCAAACCAAAAATATTCTTATAAATCTTCTTTTCAAAGATTTTTTCTGGCATCATTGGCGAAGATTTTGATTCAAATTTGAAGGTCTAGGCATCTATGGATATTTAATAAAAATCTTTGCTATGCAAATTTGGAAGACCGAGGAATCTCTAGATTTCGAAACCCTTTTTAATTTCAGAAATAATTTTGTTAATTCCAGCCTTTTAGAAAGAGTTTTTTCCATATTCAAATTTTCGATTTTAGTTTTCAATTTTAGGTTTTCGTTTTCGATTTTAAGCTTTTTGTTTCAGATTTTGGGTTCAAGTTGGTTTAGGGTTTAGAGTTTAGGGTTTAGGGTTTAGAGTTTAGGGTTTAGGGTTTAGGGTTTAGAGTTTCGGATTTAGGGTTTAGGATTTAGGGTTTACGATCTAGGATTTGAGATTCATCC